GTAGAAGTGTTTGTTTTTTAAAAAGAGGGTTTGTTTGTTTATTTATGCATACAAGAGCTGCAGTATAGGCCAGAGCTGCTGACAGGGCGGTGTGCAAGGTGAGAGGGTTCAGCAGACATAAAGAAGGCAACAGAACAGTTGAATCTACTGAAATACACACTGAGGAGAGCAGCGGGTGAGACAGGAGGGGTCTGCTGTGCCCTGTGGGTCACTCCCTGACCAGAAACCAAACTCATGCTGCAGTGGCTGTGGACAGCTTCATAGTGCTGTGCTTTACCCCATTCGTCACTAGGGAGGACCCTACCAAATTAACACTTAATTTTAAAATTTTATTTAAGAGAATTAAAGGCTTAATGTTTCTCTCCCCCCTCAAAATGAAGGAAGCTAACTTTGATAAATGCTTTTTCCAGAACCAACATTAGCCTAAGTGAAGTATTAAAAGCAAGAGTAACACAGAAAAAGCCTGCTATAAATATATATTACTCAGCATTGTAACAGAAGTGCTAGCTAACAAAAGATGCAATAAGGAAATAATCAACATCTTTATGATGTGATGGAATTCAAAAAACTACCAATTACAATTGGAAAGATGTGGTAAGTTATCTGTGAAAAATATGTCGAAATTAATAGCTCTTCTCTATACTCTAGCAATGTTTAGGTAGCTAAAAAAATTATAATGTACTTATGAAAAGTATAGGACCTATGTGAAGAAAGCAATAATATGTAGAATATAAAACAAGACCAGAATAAATGGAGGAATATGGATGTGAAGACAGCATGATAAATGTGTCAGGCTCAATATAGTATTAAAAATTCATGCAATTTGAATAAAAATTGCAAAACTTGTGGGAAACTGGGCAAAATGATCTCAATGTTCCTCTGGACGAATAAATGTCAAGGAAACTATGCAAAATAACAGGCAACCGTAAATCAGAGACATTCTACAGGGGAGAGGGGGGAAGAGGGATCAAAACAAGAGTGGGAAGAGCACAAGGGACTGTGGTGATGGTGCAGGGGGAGCGGGTGGTGGGAGTTTTACGGGGACAACACCTGAGAGGAGAAAGCAAATGCTGTGCAAAAAGGAACAATGATATAAATATATATATTAAAGAATAGATTAATGACAAAAAAGAAAGCTATGAAAAAGACATAGACTTGCCCTGTGATGTTAAAGTTCACCACAGGGGGCCTCCCTAGTGGCACAGGGATTGAAGTCTTAGTTCTATCAAGTTATCACCAGCCACTGGGGCACGAGTTCCATCCCCAGCCAGGGAGCTGACCCACATGGCACAGCAGACCTCTCCTGTCTTGGCCTCTGCTCCCCTCAGCAGTGGATTTTGGTCAATCTGCCTGTTCTGCTCCCCACTCTGTCTCTGGTGAATCCTCTTGTCCCCACACCCTCGCACCTCTTGCCTGTACCCCAGTTCTTGTACACATAAATCTTTTTTTTAAAGAACTGGGGTGTAGACCAGAGGTGGGGGTGTGGGGGTGAGAGCATCCATGAGAGACAGAGTAGGACGCAGAACACACAGACTGACTGAAATATACTGCTGAGGGGAGCAGTGGGCAAGACAGGAGAGGTCTGGTCACCTCCCTGGCTGGGGATCAAACTTGTGCTACAGTGGCTGTGCATAGCTTCACAGTGATTCGCTTTAACCCTTTGCATCACCAGGGAGGCCCTATAAAATAAATCTTAAAAAAAAAACAATTTAAGTTCACCACAGTGTACTATGAATAAGGCAAGATAGTATCAGCACGAGGGTGACTAATAATAGATCAATAAAACAGAGCAGGCTTCAAAAATAAATTCAAGGAGATATATGAACTTGATACATAATTAAATGTGATTTCAAATCACATGGGAAAAGGATGACTCACTTAATAAAGGGTACTGTAATAATTGGTTGGTTCACTATTCCAAAGAAAAATTAGGCTCTCTACAAAACAAAGTAAAATATACCCAAATAGTTTTAATTGTGTAAAAATCAAAGCCAGAAAAAATTAAAACAATAAAACTATCAGAAAAAAAAATCTAGGCATATAGTTGTATAAACTTGGGTTAGAAAAGGCCTATTTAAGTAGGACAAAAATCCCAGGGAATCTTAGAGACAAAAAAATAAGCCTATTTGATTACGCAAATATAAAAGATTTGTACATGTCAAAAGACAGCAAATAGTCACAGGATAAATCACAGATTAGAAAAATGTGCATTAAGGTATTACAAATGCATTACAAAGTTGTTTGTATATGTATTACAAAGTTGATAGGCCTAATGCACAGAAAAGTTTCAAAATAAAAAGTCAGCACACAGGATTTGAACAGGCCGTCATCGAAGAGAAAGATCAAAGGGCTACTAGACTTAAAAGTATTACTTAAGGCCACTAAAGTGAGATCAAAGCAGATTAAGATGATGGATGGCATATGTAGAGATTTTTTTTACTTTTTATTCATTTATTTTTTAAAGATTTATTTATTTACGCATACAAGAACTGGGGTGTAGGACATAAGTGTGGGGAGGAGGGCCCGAGGGTAAGAGGACTCACCAGAGACAGAGTGGGGAGCAGAACAGGCAAACTGCTGAGGGGAGCAGCGAGGTGACAGAAGTCTGCTATGCCATCTGGGTCAGCTCCCTGGCCGGCTGGGGATTGAACTCATGCTGCAGTAGCTGGAGATAGCTTGATAGCGGTGTCTTTAACCTCTGCACCACCAGGAAGGCCTCAGTAGAGATTTTTTTTAACCAGTAATATTGGCTCTGACACCCACAATTTATAGGACAGAATGCAATGGGTGCTCCCATATATTGCTTTGGGAGTGTGGGTTACTACTACTCTGAAAACCTCAACATTCCCCAGGTATTTCTTTGGTTCCTGCTACACAGTATGGTTCTAAGTGAACAGTAATAACAAAGCAGCAAGAAACCCCTACGCTCCTGGAATTTACATTCTAACAAAAAAAATCGTTTGCTAATATCTAGTAACACATTAAAAACAGCACATATCCTTCCACGGGACAGTTACATCTTGGGGAAATCCACCCTACAGATATCAAAGCACAAGTCTGTCAGGATTATATGCACCAGTGAAGTTATTCCAGCATTATAGTAGTAGCAGAAAACTGGAAATAACCTAAACGTCTAGCAAAAGAGGAATGGTTGACTCAATTATGGTGGGTTCAATCTCTGAAAAGCTTTTCAGCTAGTAAAAGAGAATGAGACGGAGTTCAGCCTACTGTGCTGGGTGGATGGATATATTCAGTGACTTGCAAAGATATTTACATAATCTCATTTTAGTTAAAAACTATTTAACCAAAACCTCCTCTTGCTCTATGTATCTATCTTTATACAGGTTTGTATGAGCATTGAGAGAATGCATGGGATCTGTTGACTATGATTACCTCAAAGATATCAGCTTGGAAGAAGTATATCAAGTTGTGTCTTTATACTTATTTTGTACTGTACATCATTTGATACCATAACATATATTTTGCAGTTGAAAATGTAATAAAAACTGCAAAGACATTTTAAAAAGGGCAACAATGTTGTGTGTTATTATAGTGATGGGGGGCAGATTTTACTTTCTTCTCTGTACCATTCAGAATCTTCCTTGTCTTCAAAAAGAATGTACATAAAAAATTAAAGGCAGACAACACACATGGAAATAATTGGTATTTGTAAGGAAAATCGCTAAACAGACTCAATATTGTGGTTACAAAATGGGTAAGATGTATGGGTAAGAACTAAGACTGGAAGAGAACAGAGATGAACAATCCCTTTAATAAAGTAAGTGACATGGTGACTCATCATTTTTTCCAAGTTTTGTTACAAAAACATGCAATAAAAATAACTTATTTGCAAGGTTTCCATCTTTGTATAGTAAGTAAATTTGCTCTTTGAAAAAATATTTTTCTGCAGAAAAACTAAAACATACTGTCTTGGGAGAAACAAGAACTAAATCTTTCAAAGTCTGTCACAACCTCCACCTCAAGAGGGAGCAGGCAAAGTCAACAGGAGACTACAGACAGAAATATGGAAAGCTAACCTGTGGTAAAAACCTCACACTGCCAGTGCACTCACTGATGCCACAGGGCAACCCCAAACTGGCCTAATGAGCATAAGGAAGCTCTTCTCTGACTGCCTGAGGCCCAGCCCAGGGAAACTGGGAAGGATGCTGCAATCCTTCTCTTCCACTCACTCCGTTTCTCTGTTGAGACACCAAACAGTCTCTACAGAGGGTAACACTCAGCCTCTGGGTCTCCTATTCCAGCTTGGCTAGATGAAATCACACACTAAATTATCGGTTTCTTAGGTCTATTTTCAGCGTGGTTTGGGTCCAGAGGGGATGACTGGTGTGGTTGTAACCTCCAAAACCCCAAAAGATGTCTCCTCAATACCTCCTCTTATTTCAAAAACAGTTCAGGCAAAAGGAAACGGGTTCCGCATAGCAAGTCAAACACATGCATGGTGGAAAAGTAAAACCTGCTCTTGGAAGGCAAAATAATATAGTTCTAGTTACACATGCTATTTTAGTCAAGGCATTTAGAGATTCCTTTGGTAATCACATAAGGAATGAATGCCACCAGAATTCCTAAGCAGGTTTTCTATAGCAAGTACCCTAGTGGTTTTTCAGTATCAGCAGGGCACTACGATGCCAAGGTACCGAATACTTTGTGTTCAAGAATACCATCAACACAAGCAAACATGAGGGACCAAGTGAATATGAAAAACCAAGTAAAGGAGATTAATTCTTGATTTTGACCTCAGGTTGGGTGGACTAACTTCCATCTCTGTCATTGGTGCTAGAAGTGCTAAACTATGTAAGGGATAGCATCACTTCCGGCTTGTGCCTTAGTGAGGACTTAATAACTGTGACTTGAGGCTCATTTCTGTGTGCGCGCATCTGTGGGAGTATGCCTTGTCTACAGCCAACAGTCCACTAGCATAACTTAAAACAAAATAGGAAATTTATTTACAATAGCAAAGATGTCAAAAATAACAGGAACAACATATAACACATCCAAGATTTTATGAAAAAGGCAAACAATATATACAAAAAAAGTTGAAAACAAAATCCTCAAGGGCAAACTTAATTTTAACCTTGTCTAAACAGCTGAAGAATGTGGCAAAACGCTTTTTCCCCCAGATATGAATAACACTGAGCCAATTAAACACACACTCTCCTTGCCCTTCTCTTTTACTTGTTGAATCTTCCTCTGAATTCTATTTACCTTTGAGGAGGGTCACTTAGGGGAGGTCAAACAAGATTTATGAAGTACGCACTCCTTATCTCTACACTAAAGGATGTTCTTATCCACAGGCAAGTTCACTTTTTAAAGGGGTTAACGGAAGGTATGAAAGTTCCATTTCACTTTCACTGCCTATTTGTGTGTGATTTTGTCTATCTTCCAAGCTGTTGCACAACTTTGCACAAAAGCAATCTTGTATGTTCCTCAAGTGCTCTAAAACTGTTCCCCAAACTTGAACTTGCGTCAGAATCACTTGATCGACATGTTAAGACACAGATGACTGGATCTCACACCCAGTTTCCCAATTCAGTGGGTTGGGGGTGGGGCTGAGAATTTGCATCTTAAAGTCCCAGGGGACTATGACGTTACCCCTTGCTGCTAGGCTACATTTTGAAACCCACTGCTTTGAAGTACCACCCCTCTAAGATTTTGGAATGGTCAGGCTTTCCTTACACGAGGCTTACATTTTGTGGAAATTAAAGACAACTGTTAATACTGAGATTGCAAGAGAACAGAAAAGCCTATTATCTGACTGGGATCAGAGAATGGTTAGATGTTATCTGTCAGCAGTCCTATTACAGCTGTTTTCCAGCATGTGATGGTTTTGTCTGGCTCTGGACAGTGACGCTCACCATGTTCTCCTGACCATTTACTTCAAGTTTGGATTAGGTACAATTGTTATGGCAAGCACTTCCTACATAACTGGAAAGCTAGGATCTCATCTTTAAAAACCAACTTGGCTCAATGTAGCTTGTCCTTTTTGACTCCTGAAAACTTTTAATAAATACTGATTTTTTATGACAACGACCTACCTTCACTATCTAGTGACTACAAGATTCCTCCCAACCAGGCACTAGGGGTAACATGAGAGAGAGCAGGGCTCCTGCAGCCGGCAGTAATCTCTGCTAACTGCTGTGGGGCTGAAGTGAAAATGCACATTAGGTGCTCTCAAAAACCACATTATGCCTAGGAGAGGTATCTCAAGGGGACTGGAGGTGCTAATAAAACAAATCCATTTTTTTATGAAGAGAAAAAAAAATGCATTTCCAGGACATGCTGCTCATCAAAGGTTTCACCAATCACCTCTTTTCTGAAATATTACTTGCAAATTCGCAGGGCTGAAATATCAGTATTTGCATCCAACTCACAAAATTTAAAGCGATCAAGTATTTTTGCATTCCACTACTGCATAAAAGTAATTAAGAAATGGGGAAATGAAAATAATCCACTGCTTTTGATGTTTATTAGGTTTTACAAAAACTGTACATTTTTTTTCTTAAGAAAAAGCATTAACTTAGTACTGGTATCAAATAGACTAAACATTAACAGGAAAATATTCTGATTTTTATTTTTGCACGTTATTCTCAAGTACACAATTACAATAATGTCACACATCCCTATATGATTTTCTTTTTATGTATTTTAAGTTTTTTACAAAGTGTACAGAGGGCGGGACATACAATATTTAATAGGATATTTCTACAGAACAATAACTTAGATATGTCCTTGTAAAAATCTGTACCTCTTTAAAACATTTAACTGAAACATCCATTTTTTTTAGCTTTGCTAATCAAAATTGTTTTAAGAATTAAAACTAGGTTGTAACTAATGTCAGTACATAACAGTGACTACAATTTCATTTTCTTTTTATACAGACAAATACAATTTATCATATTCACTTGACCAAACCCTTAAATACCTTTTAAAGGTTTCAATATTGTGCTTTAAAAAAAGAAAAGAATTGTGTATGATTCCAGACTATGTAAGAGAAATATAAAGTGTGTAAAGTGTTGTGTTCTTTATCTTTCAGTTTATTTAAAAAAATATAAACGACCAATTATATTTCTGTATTAATTTTGTAGGACATATAAAAGTTAATGTCCATTTCTGCTTAAGTGTTTTACATTACTTTTGGGAAAAGTAAAAATTAAGGAAGATTTTAAAGGTTCTCACAAAAAAACAGACAGAGCTTTCAAGAATAGAAGTGCGGGGCAATGAATCACACAATTATAAGTCACTTAAAAAAAGAAAGAAAAAAGTTACGGGGGCCAAGAGGACAAAAGCCCATGACTTGGCTTGAACTGGCATTCAGGTTGGCATTCATACCAGCTTAAAGCACTTGATTTAGAACTAGACTAAATCAATCTAGCACTTGAGAGGTTTGCCAAACACCAAATATTTAGATTTCTAAACCCTACAAACATAGTTCTTGAATACAAGAATCGCTGGCAAAGAGAAAGGTAAAAGGTAAAAACCTAATAGCACAAAAGGGATGGAGCACCATAGTGAATGGCAAGGCGCTATCAAGTGGAAGAAAATTCCGCATTTCCCACACGTGCCAGATACTCGTGTGCCTATAGCCGATTTAAGGGACCCCAAAAACTTGTCTCCAAGATTCACCTTACCATAATCAAATTCTAATTAACCGAGTTCACTTCATGAATTTATGACTGACTGAAAGCTATTTGTTAAAAAATGTCAACTCTAAAAGAAAAACGCAACTGAAAGACTTGGTGATATTCCGAATAAGGCCTCAGATTTTCCTCATGTATTTAAAACACACCTTTATCTTCTAATCAAAACCAACTTGAACACTGAACTTTTTAAAGTTTGCTAATTGTAACTAAGAAATAACTGAACTGGCTGACCTTGCCAACTCTAAGACATAATTAGCACCCAATCTCTGGTAAGTGGGGCTGTTACTTCCTCAGACCCCTCACTTGATGACAGGAGTTCCCTCCTAGGCTGCTCAGAGAGAACTGAGGGAGTTTTGTCTGGAAATCCATTAGCTTCTCAGAAAAATATAAAGGCATGGAGTTGAAGTTGTATGAAAATGTTCTATCTAGAAACATCTTAACTTCTATTTTTCAATTACCAAAGATATTTAAAAGAAAATACCTTTACTCTTTAAAAATACTAGTGTCCTTATTTTCCTTCTAATTCTTCACCTGAGTAGTCTCTCTAAAGAGCATGATTCACAAATGCTCTCTCATGCATCCCTGCATCTTTCATGTTATCGTAAATTTAATACTTTTCATTATAGATTTTAACAACTACTACTTGGGGTTGTGTGTATAAATATGTAAAATAAGCAATACACACAGATAAGCGTTATATATATGTGCATATAGATAATTCAGGGTACATTTACATATATAAAGTTGCAAAAGATCCTATGCGCCACGAATTACCTCTAGGAGATTCCAAAATGCAGTCCTCAATAAGTCTCATGTGTAGCACACAACAATTCCAGGACAAAGCAGCACAGACAGAATAATCAAATTACAATAGGATCAAGCAAAAATTTTCAAACTTTGCTAATGCTGACAAAAGATGTAAATACTCCAAAGAAAGCCAAAAATAAGAGTATATTTTGTCTGTTAAACAAAATGAAAAGGAAACAGGAACCCAGACATTGTTTTTTACTCAGCAATGCCAGGGACACAAAAGATCTAATGGAGACTTTTGTTGTCATGTGGTCTGAAAATATTAAGACAAGTAAATGAATTCCAAATTAGGATAATTAGACCTGACTATAAAATCTCCCATTTATATTAGTAGATGTCTCTGACAATTTTATTGTGAGAAATTTATAGGACAAAAAAAAAAAGAGTCCCAATGAATACTTTCAGAGTTACCAATCTAAAGTTACCTTAACTTTAAGTTAAATGGTCTTAGAAGAGTACCATGAAGGTAAGCAAGGTAAATAATTAAATAAATATAAAACTTCTAAGATAGAAAAATTCAGTATAGAATCAGGGATTATCTTTAAAAGCAACCTGCTTGTTGCTGCTTTTCCCCATTTATTAAACAAACTGAATAGAATTCAGAACACACTACTGAACAAAATGTAAAAAAAAAGTCAACTAGAAGCAGTAACTCTATTTGTACACAGCATAAATCAATATACAGTATTGTATGTGAACGAGACCAATTGGCTTTCAAATAATTTTCTGCTTCAAGGCCAATATCTCTACAAATGTCTGCAGCAGTCTTGTTAGGGCAGGCCAACTTCTTTATGATGTCGCATTATGTGCTGGTTCTTTTCCGAAGGTCTCCGGAACCCTTTCTTGCAGTACTCACATCGGTGTGGATAGTCTTTTGTATGGATGGAAATAACGTGTCGTTTAAAGCCTGAGGCGTCTGTAGTGCTGTACTCACAGTACTCACACTGATACACTTTCCTGCCACTGTGAGTCTTCATATGCTTTTTAAGCTCATTCTGTTGCCTAAATCCCTTTCTACACCTCTTACACCTAAATGGCAGATCCTTTGTGTGAACTGAGAGAATATGGCGACTTAGAACAAACGGATCTGCAATTTTAAAGTCACAATGTCTACACTGGTGCATTTTTTTACCCTTGTGGGCAGCCACGTGTTTCTTGAGTTCTGAAGGCCTGTGAAAACCTTTATCACACATGTCACACTTATGGGGGTAGTCCTTCGTGTGAACTGAAATTATGTGTCGTTTCAGATCACTCGAGTTCGAACTCTTGTGGTCGCAGTGCAAACACTGGTGTGTTTTGCTTTCTTGGTGGATAAGAGCATGTTGCTGCACCTCTTTGGTATCTGAGAAAGTCAGAAGACAAATGTCACACTTGAACGGCATCTCTTTACTATGCTTAGTTTTTACATGAGTTTTCAAGTTAGAAGAGTCTGCAGACCTATACTCGCAGTACTGGCACTGGTACGGTTTCTCCCCAGTATGGATTCGCATGTGTTTTTTGAGCTCCGAGGGGTGACGAAAACCTTTCCCGCACTCCACGCAAATATGAGGAAAGTTTTTGCTGTGGACTGCCAACAGGTGGCGATTCAATAAGCCTTGTTCAGCTGTCTCATATTCACAGAATTTACACTTGTGCATTTTGTTGGCTCCTTTTTCCTTATGCACCATTTTGTGAGTAAACAAAGCCCCAGCATGAGAGAAATGCTTCCCACACTCATCACATTCGATGGCCTTCTCTGTCTTGCTGGTTAGCTTGTGGCTCTCCAAGTGGTTGTGTAAACTTATCTTCTTATTGGTAGTGTAATCACAGTCAGTACAGCGGTACTTCTTCTTGGTAAGGTGTTCAGGATGGTTTTTCATGTGCCTTTTCAAAAAACCTCTTGACTTAAACTTTTTTCCACAAATCATGCATGGATAGACAGTCAAGGGATGTCCGTCAGGGCCAATGATTATTGCTAAGAAAGGGAAAAGAAAGGACCATGAGTGATCAAACCAAGTTCTATTTTGATTTCTTCAAGAATTTAAAGTGTTTGCTAAATATTACTGGGCAAGTAATACTAAGTTAAGCTATTTGCTACTTATTCCTTTTACCATTTCCAACAATCTCATTAGAAAGAGAAATTGGTCTGGAAACTTCACTCAATTTGACTGTACCAATCTTAATGCCTCCAGCTTAAAAAACAAATAATATGTAATGCTACCAACTAGTGATTAAAGTGGCATCGATTCATAAATTGGTAGAGAATTATCTGTAAATTTTGCAATTAACACTTCTGCTTTGGTTACCAAAAATATATAGTTGTCAATGAATAGCAAAACTTAAATATGCCCAGTTTTAAAATATGAAAATCAGTAGATAAGAATAGATAGGATTAAGTCACATGCACTCAAGTACTTGTCCTGCTGCTCTGTACATTATTATGCCTGCTTTATGCTGACATAATCACATTTTTTAAATCTCTATTTAGTTTTCTAAAAAGGTTAATGTTTGCAACATATTTAAGGGATTTTTTTTTCATTTCCACATAAAAGCCACCTCAGATTTAAATTTCAAAATCCATGTCTGATCCATTCGGTTTCATTTTATCCAAAGAAATCATTCATGAATATCACTGAACTCTTAAAATTATAGTTTCAAATTCATTACACAAGTTACATGTGGTCTAACAGCTAAAATGCCATCACAACACCTCTGTGAATACATTCTACTTTCATCTGAGAGCTCGCAGAGCACGCTGCACTGTGGACCTCGTGTGCCCTCACCTGTTTGGTACTGCCTGGAATCAGGTCTTCTCCTTTTCTTTGGTTTTTGTTTAGCCAGTCTGCCGAGCCCAGCAGACTCATCTATGTGCAAGAGGGCACTTGCAGTGCCATTCCGGTTTTCAATTCCATCAGAATTATTACCTAACAGTGTGCATTAAAAAACAAAATTATACAGTATTATAAATTATAAAGAATTAGGTATTCTTTATTAACTACAACAACAAAAAGTAAGCCATGATACTCATGAATGACAAGAAGTCCCCATTCTAGGCAATGGGTTTTATGAGCACATTTATTATAGTGCAATCACAGGACATGCCCAACTTCAAATCTAAAAAACACTTGTCAGCATTTTGCCCCATGAAGTCCCTTGTTATCTCCCAAAGTTATAAAGTCATGGGCCACATATAATCAAGATGCAGTTTCAGCTTGAAAGCCTGTATACTTCTTGCAGTACTTCCTTCTACATAATATACACATGAAGGAATTTCCTGTTGAAAATAAAGACAAAAAATACTTTATAACCTTCCTCTACTCTCGATCAAATCAAATAATCTTCACATTACACTAGTAGTTCATATTTCTGATACCTACAGAAACCATTTTTCAATCACGAATTCACACACTATCCAAGAGCCATGTCAGTCCTGGGGGCTGCTGTGTGACCTACCGTAAGCGGCCGCCCACGCTATCGGCATGAAGGTCTTGATCTCACTGTCATCCATCTGCTGTTCATGTGCAGCAGCGGCAGCCGCTGCCGCTGCTGCGTCCTCCTCCCCTACAATCACTTCCATATAAACTTCATCGGCAATTTCGGCAACATCTAAGCACAAAATTATTCCGGTGGTTAACTTAATATAATTTTCACACTGCTGCTTTCCAATGATACCAACCTAAAACTTCTATGATGTTATCATGCAGTTATAGCAATCAAAAAAGAAAGAGTTTACATAAACGTTGGTGACTGGGTTTACAGAGATCACGAGAATATATTTTACTTTTATACTCGGTTTACAGATATATAGAAAGCAAGTTCAGTGTTATAGATCTAAAACATAGCTTTTTTACAGTAAGCATTCAATAAATACTTGTTGAACAAATCATTCATTTCTTGGCTTTCATGATCTGTTTTTTTTAAAAAGAAAAAGATTTATTTATTTATGTAAACATAACTGGGGTACAAGCCAGAGGTGCAGGGGCAGTGAGTGACAGGCTTCACCAGAGAGAGTGGGGAGCAGAACAGGCAGACTGAGAAAGTACACAGCTGAGGGGAGCAGCGGGTGGGTCAGGAGAAGTCTGCCGCACCATGTGTTCACCTCCGGGGTCGGGGACTGAACTTGTACTGAAGCAGTTGTGACCAGCTTGCAGTACTGAGTACTGCATCCTAACCCTTGCGCCACCAAAGAGGACATCACTATCTGTTTTCAAAGCAACATTCTAAGCATAAAGAGTCACTAATGTTTCCCATGGACTATAACTGCATAATAATCTGTAATAATGCTTGTTTCTTTCCAATACTGCCTATATTAGGGCCCTCCCTGGTGGCGCAGCGGGTTAAAGCACAGTACTAAGAAGCTAAAGCCACTTCCATATGAGTTCGATCCCCGCCCGCCCCGGAGGTGACCACATGACCTGCCCGCTGCTCCCCTCAGCAGTGTACTTTGTCGATCTGCCTGTTCTGCTCCCCACTCTGTCTCTGGTGAAGCCTCTCACCCTCTGAGCCTCTGGCCTGTACCCCAGTTCTGTATGTACAAATAAAATAAATCTTTAAAAAAAAAACCCTACAGGAACATAAAATTTTCTCCCACAAAAAGGCCACCTACTTACTTAAATCTTCATCTTCTTGTTGAGAGTCGTTGACAGTCATATAAACCATCTTTTCCCTTGGCACACGAATACTGCTGTTCTGGTCAAGTAACTCAACTCCGTGGTCATTCTCAGGCTCACTCTCCACAATGTCTACTGTGCCGCCTAGCAGGGAAAACGATAGCTCCAAGAATTTATGTGAAAACTTCATTTCTATCTGTTTCACTTAATACACTTTACATACTTTTCCACTGCTACATTGGAATCCCTGCTTAAAAATTATCTTCAGAAAAGATTTCATATGTTCTCAATCTAAGCCACCTGAAAGCAATCAGATTAAAGCAATTACATCAGGATGTGCAATACACTGAAGGTTTCCTCTTACCTAAGTCATCTTCTCCAGGGTCAGCTTTAAAAATGTACACCTTGATGACTTCAGGGCAAGTGCCATCCACTTTACAAGGATCGATTTCTGACTCTGTGTCCATGGTCATTCCAGAGGAACCATCATGCTCGATTTTCCCAGCATCATCCACTAAAAAGGCAAGAACCCTATTACTAATAATTATAGTACATACTTAAGTAAAAGTTATTGACTGCAGAAAGCTTTTGTTTTTTTTACTAGTATGACCTCTAACTTGATTTCCATAAAATGATTTTACTTACACAAGTAGACACGAAGACTATGGTAGAGTGTGGCTGACTACTAAGCTTAAGTCAAGTGACAGAGGGTCTTGGTACACCAAGTAGAGGGACTGAGACTTGATCCAAGTAAGTCAGTAGTTTCTAAATCTGGACAGGTGTTAAAAATCTCTTAGGAACTCAAAAGCACACGCCCCAGCACATCCATTTTACAGAATCAGAATCTCCAGGAGCGGAGCCTAATATATATACAGCTAGATGGGGATACTCCTGTCCCCAGGGATTCTGATCAGAGGTTTGAGAACAACCTCTGCTGTAGGTAATCAGAAACTTTCAAGCAGTGCTTGACAAAGATCTTTGTCATTTTTGCTACAATATCCTTCTGCCTTTGAGAAAAGTAAATCCAAAGTGATCAAGACATAAAGCAGAGATCCCACTTGTGAGTCTACTGCAATAATGCAGGCAACAAATGAGAAGGCATCACATCAGGACAGAGATGACACAGACAGGCCAAAGGGCTGAGTTCTACCTTGAGGTCGAAATGAGCAGGACTTGGTGTCTGCTTAAAAACTGAATGTGGGGGCCCTCCCTGGTGGCGCAATGGGTTAGGACGCAGCCCTGCAAGCGAGCCACAGCCACTTCAGTGTGAGTTCGATCCCTGGCACCGAAGGTGACCCACATGGTGTTGGCACACCTCTCCTGTCTCGCCTGCTACTCCCCTCAGCAATGCACTTCATTAATCTGCTTGTTCTGCTCCCCACTCTGTCTCTGGTGAAACTTCTCACTGCCCCTGGACCTCTGGCTTGTACCTCAGTTCTGTAAGCATAAATAAATAAAACTTAAAAAAACTGAATGTGACCATGGAGCCAAGGTAACTATGTGGTTTCTGATTTAGGTGATTGAATTACTGGAGAAGAAAAGTTTAAAAGAGAATGAAGAAAAGGATTTCTTCTATAAGTTTAGTAAATTAATAGACAGTCTGAGAAGCTAACAACCCTAAAAGCCCCCAGGCTGAGCAACTGTTCCTATCATTGTGCTCAGGACACCCACTGTTGGTTCTTCTCAGAGTATACAGTTCACTGTATTGTCACTATTTGGGTACTCCTCTGTCCCCCCACAATCTTTCACATTGACAAAGTGGAACCTGTATTTTCATCATTCAGTCTTCCAAGACAGAGTCCAATGAGAGTATATGCTCAGAATACGAATGAAGCAATGACTCAATGAATGACTGAGATGTGAATTCAGCTGCCCAATATTCAAGCCCTAAAATTGAAGGCTGACACAGATTTGGGCACTATCAACCCTGTGTTAACTGAGCCTTGAGACCACACGGTGAGAATCTGCAGTGTGAGAAGAAAGTAGGCTGAGGGAATCCTTGGGAATGTCAGAGTGTGAGTGAGTGACAAGAGTTCACAAAGGAAAGTGAGAAAGGAGAGGATGGTAGAAAAGGGAAGTTAGGGCGTTAAAAGTTCTAATAGCACTAACAAGGCTATGGCAATAATGCAGCAGGAGGAAATGTCTACACTGACTGTTGTATCCAGAAGTCGCTCATGTTCCTGATGAAAAGTGGTATGGTGAAGCTGTATGGGTCAGACCAAAGTGGGTTTAGGATTCAACAGAAAAGTATGAATTTCTTCAAGAAATTGAATTTAAAAATGGAAAACAAGAGAGCAGTGACTACAATGGGCTGCAGAGAACAGACTTTTCTAGTTAAAAAAGACTCAAGTATACAGAATCTATGAGAAAAAATATATAGTAGAAAATAAGAGGCTGAAGCCAGAGGGCATGGTGACATTCCTGGGTCAAGATCTCAGAGGAAAAGGAGGAAGATGAAACTAGGCACAAAGATGAAGATATATTTGTTAAACAGGAGGAGAAACTTGCTATCCTTCCAAGATTTGAGTAGGTAAACCTGGATGAGAATACAGTTATATTATTTATAGGGAAGGGGAGAAGGTTGCAATACAGAAATTTAAGACTTGATGACTGGTGGCTTCAACCATAGGTATGAAACAAGGGGTGACCGCTGTGGTTACTAGTGAGAGAATGGCAGGCAAGGTTAAGAGCTAGAGAAGCTATAGAAAATGAGCTGATCCAGGACAAGCTAACGACATGAAGATGCAAAGGAACAGCTGGTTAAATTTTTTGTGGTTTAAAAAAACAAATAGAGGTCTCTGAACTCTGAATATACCTACCTAAATTCAAGTACCTTAACTGTGGTTTATAAAAATTGTTTGTAGGGGGAAGAACTGGCATTATAGTCTTATTCTAGCCTGATGTGTACTTAAACTTTTTTCAAAGTTAAATATTTTTATCACAAATCAAGCTGATCGAGCCAATTTTATTTCCTTAAAGATAGCTTTGGAATTTCAAATTGAAGTAGCATGAGAAGGATGAAGCTCTCAAAATTAGCAGGAGAGTCCTGAATAAGTCTGTCACAACTTCAGAGAATTCATTTCTGAACAGTTTGATATTGTTGATGACGCTTGGCCTCTTTTGGCAAGGTTTGTTAAAACTGATTCTAACAGATACTGGAAAATCAAATGTCCTTGTGTTTACAAAGAACAAGGTCAGTCTAGCTGTTTTCGCCTACGTTGGTTGGTTGGTACTCACAAGATAAAACCTCTGATGCTGGAAAATCTAATCATTTTGGAGCTTGCAAAATGTCAGGTATTTAACTGTAACTTGAAATAAAAGAACTCTCTGTTTTCATACATGTGTGAAAAAAAAACATTTCAAATCTACAGGCTTAAATGAACCCAATGAAACTATTCTGTATTAGGCTAAAGTAGAATTCACCTTCAAATTTTCACCTTGAAAATGTGCCCCACTGACTCAACCTCAGAAATTATTGTGAATATATGAAATATTGCAGAAATTATTTGTTTTAAAATAAAACTTGGATGATACTGTTAAGTACTTAAAATTTTACTGTGATGTTAAAGCTACCATTAAAAATAAATTTCTAAAAACAGACAAAGGTTTTGATAAAACTGAGTCATCAAAAGTATGATTTTTGCATAAGAGCCTTCTTCTAATATAGTAATGAAGAACTAGAGCTTTAGAATAAGTCTCTCCAAAATAGAAGAGCATAATTTCTGGAAATTAAGACTACTTCTAATAATAACTGCCATTTTCATGGCATTTTGCAATTTCCTTAGCATTTCTATGTACTTTTATTTCATTTGATTCTCACCTTTTGCAGATAATAAAATAAAGACCCCTGAGATGGTATGTGACTTGCCCAAAGTCAGTGAACTAGTAAAATGAGGGGTGGGAGAGAAGGTGATGTGTTTGTCTTTACAATCTAGACCCTTATTTGTATCTTTTGGTTTTTAAATTAAATATATATCCACTATACAAAATTTGGTTTAAAAAAACCCAAAAAACCAATAACCCCAACAACCAGAAATTCCACATTATGAGTAAATAATGTTTTACTGTCTCTTTTAAAATAAATTGGCATCCATTTCCAAGCTTTACATAAGATTCTTTATAACTCATCCAGCTTTAAATTTCAAAAGTAAAATAAAAATTTGACTTACAATCTCATTAGTAAAGCAAAACTATAGTATCATATAGGTATACATTACACTGCTTTAAGACACCTTCAGTAAAATTCCCTGAAGGCTAAAAATTGCAATGCTAATAGACGTCATGGTGTCTAAAAATAGAGCTCATTAATATTTCAGTAGACTCAGTAGTTTCTGGAAAAGAAATATTGGGGTGGGAATGTATACCGTGTCAAATAACTGTTTAAGGAATGTGATCTAATTAAAAATCAGCAAAACTGAGCGAAGAACATTTCATGAAAAATCTGCGTAATAAGGAGTGATGGTCTTCATGATAAGATTTATAAGAACATTTACTGACTACACACCATGCAGGAGGACTAGTCTTTAAAAAAATTATCATTTACTACTCATGACAGGCTCATAAAATAGGTGATGTTATATTGTTTTGCTATTCTCACCTAGCTAAACTTCTAGATAACTCTTATTATAATTCTGTCAAGCTACATGGTATTTGTAATGACTTGCATTTTGTCAAAATTAACATCATAAAAAGAGACATCCTTAATATTTGATCTGTCTCCAGGTTACCACCAAACACCCCTAGACACTGCCTTTAGCCATCTTTCCTAAAACACTCACTTGCCTTACGCCAGCACAGAACACTGACCCATCGTTCTACCAAGTAAAACATGCACTGCACACAGAACAGCAATTGACCAGACAAACTGCCTTCTGCCTCCAGTCTCTCTTCCCTGGCAGCCCCAGACTAGCCCATGTGCCCTGAACTTAAACATGTGTGTTTATTTCCACTCCTTTATGCTCCTTCAACTTTGCTTAAACACACATACACACACACACCCCCCCCATATACATGTTACATGGCTTATTACTAGGAAAAAATAATTTTATCTGTATAAAAAGAAGTCACAACCTGAAACTATCAATAGAATTTATAAGTCATTATTCAGATATACCTCTATCCTATTTATAAATAAAAGGACAGAATGAGCTTTTTTTTTTTTCATGATAACATGCCTTTTAAAGACAAAAATTAGTCTATTAGAATTTATTTGAACTGATCAACAAATCAACTTTAATTTTATGGTCAATTCCATCCCACTGCTCTCCAGTTCCTTGCCCTACCCCCTCTTTTCATTTCATCACACTGCTTTGGCAGAACCACAAACTTGGCTAAATGCAATTTTCCTCTACGCAGCTAAATCTGTTTGGACACACACAGTTTCAATTTAAATTCATGACTCAACCAGAAGTGGACCTTACCTGCTACTTCCACCATTTTTCACTTTCTCCTCAGACCTCTAAAGTCACTTTCCTGTCCTCATTCTCAGTTGATGATGTTACTACTTCTTACCCA